GATGTGAGCAATCACAGGGCCACTTCATCATGAGCTTAGTTTATTTTCAGAGCTTCTTCGTGGATTGGATCTCCATCTACTGCATAGATTATTAACCTCTTTGGTTTAGCAATTACTGTGAGAGCCTACTGAGAGAGGGATGGATGTCCGCATGTTAATGTTCTGTCCTTTGTAGATATTCTAGTTCTGTTACTGTAATGAGAAAGCATCAGTGGGTAGGTCATAGAGAAGTGGCCATGGCTTCATTCACATGAAGCTTTATTTACATAACAGATAGGAGACTGAGTCTTGGGTCATGGGTTCCCAACCTCTAGGGCTTCTTTTCCTCTTTTGCTTCCAATTATATTACACTTATTTTTCAGATCTGGGACAAATATCTAGCTTTGATGTTACTTTAAAGCACTTAATGTAGCTTAATATTTTTAGTCACATGAATGCACAATATTAATTTTCTTATGAAGTAGCATGGATTGGATGTATCTTCTGCTTCTTTTGTGATGATGAAATTACTGTTCATGAGACTTAAATCTATTGTATGTAAAGCCAGTGTAGAGCTGTTTTGATAATTACTGAATCTGTGAAATTATTCAGTTCAAAAGTTTTTACACTCTTAGTCTTGGGAATGAACAGTTTAAATATAAAAAATTTTACAATAGTCCTGAAAAGAATTTTCAGATTATCTCAAGGTAAACACAGCAAATGGTTTATTTACATTAAATGACATCTCTAACTTCTTGATAACAACATTTCATCTATCTATCCAAATTAACCAAATAAATCTTTACAGTGAGCCCAATAGAAAACATTGGGTTCTATTCTACATGCCATTTCTAATCGAGAAATCATTCAATCGTTCAACAATGTCAAAGATTTTGATCAAATGACTGTTAGCATCAATAGCTATAGAATTCTAACTGTGTCTTTCCCATCTGCTGTGATGATGTGTAAAGCATATTTTGCCAGTTTCTTGATGGTTAGTTTTAATATAGGGGAAATGTGCTCTAAAAAAACATGCAACAGCAGAGTCAGAAAGAAAATGGAGTACACACTCACCGAGCTGTGAAATTCAAAGATCTATTCAAGTCCATTAGCTACAAAACATACATCATCCACTAACAATGTGGACAGTGAATGGAGGCCTCTGTGGAGCATGGCATAGCCAGCTTAGGGAGGGATGAGCACTCTGGCGATGGTTGGATGTTGCAGGTACCAATTAAGAGATTTCCCAGGAAGGTGGGCAGTGGTGGTGGTTGAGTCATCCTTGCCAAATCCATCTTTTCTCCATCTCCAGTGACCTCTGTAGGGATTTTATGAGATTCCCTGAGAGATTTCTCTGGTTCCTTTATTCCTACAATAGAGATAGAGTAAATATTTGTCAAACTTTTCATTTTAGAGGATTTAACCCATGTGGTTTTTAAATACTTGGTATGTACTAAGAATCATGTAAATTTATTATGTACTAAGCGTCATATAAATTTATCTGAATAATGGGGGCAAATAGGAAAGGAAGGCAGCATGCTTCCATATGTGGAAGCTTAAAGTGGTATCTATTCAGCTCGCTTTTGAAGGATTCGTACTTGTCTTCAATTTTAAAGCACCTCCCAAATTACTTCCATGAGGTAGAAGTGTTTAGGAGATGCTTGTAAAGATTAAAAGTAACTCATTTAAAAATTTCTTTCGAAGTCCCACTCATCTGTTTTTTTCTCTCCTGTGCTGTGTGTAGATGTTAAGCTTTCCCAGGAGAAAGTGCTAAACTATAATCACAGTAGAAAGTATCCTGTGAATAACAAAGGAGAGTCAAGGCATGAGCTGGGTAGGTGTCGTAATTCCACACGGGGTTTCCTCCGTGTGCTCACACTACCACACCCCACAGGGAGCATGTGTACCAAGTGAGGTATTTGTAGATAGAACAATGAATTATTCAAAGAATCCTAAGATGACATGGAATAGCAAAACTAAGTTGGGAATTCAGAAGAACCATGCTTTCATCCCTTGTAACAACCGTGGTTACAGCTGTAAGAACTTGGCACTTCTTGGGTGCTTGCTCCATGAATCATCTGTGTAATAATGGTTCACCTTACATATTCAGTCAGCTCAAAATACTTTTTTCCACCTTTTAGTCCAGTGCATTGTTTAAGCATGGGAGACGTGATGTGTGGCCATTCAGCCAATGGCAATTTATTTGTAAATCTATCAGCAGCTTCAAGTTTGGGAAGAAATGAAGACTAATCAAAAATATGCACCATTTAATTTGAAGGAAATTTCTCATTCTGAAGTTATGACTTAACCAGTGAACACTAGAACTCTGCAGTGTTTTAGAAGAGAAAGATCACGTCAAGTAAAATGTTTTAAGTAAAAACTATCAAAAGTATGTTTTAAGAACTGGAGATGGCTGAGTTGGTTAAGTACTTACTGTACAAACATGAGGACCCAAGTCTGGATCTCTGGAGCCCATCTGAATAGCTGGATGTGGTATCATATCATGTGGCTCTAATCCTAGTGCCAAGAAGTAGAAAGAGGAGGGTCCTGAAACTTTCTGGTCAGTCAGTGAGATATTCCATCTCTAGAAGATAGTGGAGGATGGCAGACAAAGAAACCAGAGGGCTAGCTGTGACATATGCATGCACATTCATAACCACATCAGTATAAACTGATGCATAACTACAGACAGAAAAGCACACACACTAAACAAACACATACATACATAAAAAACGTACATGCACTATTTTTCAGAAACCAACAAAATAAACATCACTTTATATAATATTACAAGGAGAAAAACAAAAGTATAAACAGTATATATTAATTGTGGGTTTTCTTTTTTCCTATTTAAAATTTTCCCTGTAATAACTTGAGAACAATTACACTCCAATTTGAATCTGGGTATTTTGGGGGAATAATTAGGATCCATCCCTCCATGAATGACCTATAAACCCATCATCATCTTAGGAATCTGTTCAGAACTGGAAATTACTTACTGAATGTAATTTATTTCGAATGGATGTAGTTAAGTGCACATGAAAAGCATAGACTTACTCCGTGACCCTTTGACCAACACTTCCCGTAGTGCAATGTAGCTTTGTGACAAGTGTGGATGGGATCTCCATTCAGCATCTGGCCAGAAAGTCATACAGTTTGAAATCCATGGCTCTCTTCTTATCAGTTCTTTGAATTATGATGCCTACGCATTTCGATCAATCTTATTAATGGCACCAATCATTTGTGTGGGGTCAGGTTTTGCCATAACATAGATCAGCATGGTATAATAACTTTTCTTAGTTAGTACAGCATAACTAATCAACTACTTCCTTTTAATATGTGATTGGATTTAGTGAAACCATAGTTCAAACAAATGAAGGTCTATTACACACCTCAAAATGGGACCTATTTCTAAGGAGACCCTTTAACACAGCAACTGAATGACTTCTTTCCTTCATTCTGCTTTTATCGAGAAATAAGAGCTCTCATTCAGCAAGCCTCAGGGTAAAATTGTGAGAGTGTGTTTGTGGGATGATGGCTGACTGGGAGGATGATTGACAACTGGGATGACAGCCGACCAGTGTGATTCCCAGCTCTGATCTCATTGTTAAAAGAAAACCACAATGTTCTTTTTGCTGATTATATATATATATATATATATGTATGATTTACACAGAAATGTTCACTTTTTCTTGTAAAATATTATTAAATCAGGACACCTGCTTGCTACATTCCCATTTATAATAGTGTCACATTATTTCTGTGTTGTCATGTGAATAATAGGCAATCGAGTGAAAGTTTTTCAAAATTGCAGTCCTCTAGATGTTACAATTAAATTAATTACAAATCCCGAATAAATAATTCTTAATCACATAAAAACATTTCTGCCACATTATACATACTTTTGTTATGATGTAAATTGAAAGCCAATGGAATATGTTTTAAAATAAATACAGGCACATGCTCCCAAAGCTCTTGCTTACCCCTTATTAACAAGCAGATGCATGGGGAAGATGTGCCTCCAATATCTGCTCCTATTAAAAGTGGCATCTTATTTTTCAATTGTAATAGTAACAGCTTGATAACATAAACAATACTTACTTCCAATGTTTATATGAACAGTCTACAGTTGAGCAATTTTAAGCACTTTTTTAATGAGTGAACCAGTTTGACAAATTGAGCTGCTTCATGGGAGAATCAGGGGAAGATGGCTAGGACAGATAATGTTACAACTAGTCAAGGAGAATTATCCAAAGACTCAGGTCCTGAAGCCCTGGACTTGGACACAGAAGTAGACAGAACTGATCTCAGGAATCAATGAAAGTATGCTTAGGTTGGGTATAGTGATACAAAGCTGTAAATCCTGCTCCAGGCAAGCGGGGTAGAGGGAAGACTCAAGGCTGGCATGGGCTACATAGTGAGCAGGATACCAACAAGCCTTTGCTATATGGAGACATACTCTATTAAAATTGAGCAAAATAAACATATACAAATAACAGACAAGTAATTTAAGAGTAGAAATAGGTATGGGACTGATATGGACAGGTTAATTGGTTTTGGCTAAAGAATTTGTGATATGTTCCATATTTTCCACAGTAACTGTTCAATAATCCAACAAGCTTTCAAACAAACTTTTGTCACTTGTAAGAAATAAGAATCTTGTACAAAAGTTAGTGCCACTCCTTTAATCTTAGGATCTCCAAGTTGTTATAGAGCATTGTTTATATGTGGTCACTAGAAAGAGGTCCAGGAGGCTGTAAGATCCCAAAGGCTCCACACACACTGTGTTAAAAAATAGCCACTCGGCATTTCTTTCTCCAAACTGATTTCACATTAAAAACTAATTAGACTGACAATAAATTTGGCTCATAAATGTTTCATGTCTACTTGTCTCTGTGCTGAGAGAGTTGTTTAATGACTTTTTCCCAAATCTTGTGTTTTGGAATGATTATTCTACTTTGATTTTGTGAAATGTAGTTTGCATTTATTAAATGTTATACATTAAAATAACTTACTTCCAGTCCTAGGTGACAGTCCACTGTGGTGCAGTCAAGGTGGAAGGAACTGGAAGCAGCAGGTTGTATCACACCCACAGTTGAGGAACAGGCAGTCTTGAGAAGAATCAGAAGCACACCTGGTGAGCTACTTATTCATGGAGGGGGGCCTGATCCAGAAAGGAACAGGAGGCCTGTGTAGACATGACTCCAAAGCTGTCAAATAGCCCAAGCACACTCAAAATCAAATTAATACCAGAAAGAGGTAACCAAAAGCAGAAATCATAACCGATCATGAAAAATTGTGAAATCTAGTAAGGAATTATTTCATACTGAACTAGAGAATGCATGGGTGCTCCAGGTGATATTTCCACCTACTATTGTAAACAGTGCATGTTTTCCCCTTTAAGGTTTGTTCACAACACTTGTTGTGCCCAGGGCTACTGCCACATATCTCTCTATACTACCTTTCCAGTGATCTCTGACAAGCAACAGGAATTTTGCCATGAAAATGCATCATTGTTTCTGATGCTGGAAACCTCAGTTATCTTTTATTTTTCAAATTTCCAATATTTATTCAAATGATTGCATCATACAGACAAATTCATATCATTTATTTTGGGGGGAGACAGTGAACATATTTGGAAAATATACAGCAAATATAAAATATAAATTATTTATACGAGGCTTTTGCAATGTATTTAATCTTTTTTTTCAATTTTTTTATTTTAAATAGCTTGTTTTACATGTCAATCCCAGTTCCCTCTCCCTCCCCTCCTCCCGCACTCCCCTTTCCCCCCACCCTCCCACCCTATTGCCAAATCCTTCCACAAAGGGGATATCAGAGTCTGTCATTTTACTCTGGGTAGGGTCCAGGCACTCCCCTAAGAGTCCAGGCTGAGAGAGCATCCCTCTTTGTGCTATAGGCACACGAAGACTGTTTGTATATCAGGGATAGACACTGATCCACAGCTCAGGGCCCCATAGGTTGCCCAGGCCTTCTCGCTGACACTCACATTTGGGGGGGTCCAGATCAGTCCCATACTGGCCTCCTCACTGTCAGTCTGGGATCCAAGAGCTCTCCCCTGTTCAGATCAGCTGTCTCTGCTGGTTTTGCCAGCCCATTCTTTGCCAATTTGCTCATCACTCCTCTCTCTCTGTCACTGGGTTCCTTGGGTTCAGTTCAGTGATTAATTGTGTGTTTGCCTCTGCTTCCATCAGTCACAGGATGAAGGCTCCCGGATGGTTATAGACATCAAGTTCATTATCAGGAATGGGCATTCGAGGTGGTCTCTCCACTATTGCTTAGCTTGCCAATTGGTGTTATCCCTTTAGATCACTCGAGGTCGCTCTGGTGCCTGATCTGTATTCGATCTTTTCAAAAGAATTGTGATGAAGAGAATAGCTGAGACAAACTAAGAAAAAATTAAGTGAAGTCTCTGGGTAATCAGATAGGATTACTTCTACTGGCATCACTATTGACCAGTTGAGACCTTAGTTATTTGTTTGTTTGTTTTTAAGACTGAAAGATTATAGTTGATTGTTTTATTTTGTCTTTGACTCTCTGGGGGGCCCATCACCCAGCTCCCTAATAAATACACATGGAGACATACTTAAGAACGCCAGGCCTTAGTTTGTATGCTTTCTAGACAGCTTTTTTAAAATATGTTTTTATTTAAATTAAAAATATGCATGTTTCACATGTCAATCTTAGCTCCCTCTCCTACCCCTTATCCCTTGTCCCTTCACTCCTCCCCAGCCCAATCCCCACACCATTGCCCAGGGAGGGTGAGGCCCTAATTGAGGGGGTCTCCAGAGTCTGTCATTTCATCCAGAGCAGGATCTACGCCCTTCCCCATGTGTCCAGGCTGAGAGAGCACCCCTCCATGTGGAATGGGTTCCCAATGTTCATTTGTACGTGATGGTGAACACTAATCTTCTACCCAAGGCCCCAGGGATTTCTGAGGCCTCCTCACTGACGCTACATTCATGGAGTCTGGATCAGTCCCCAGTTGGCCTCTCAGCCATCGGTCTGGGGTTCAAGAGACCCCCCCCCTTGTGCAGTTAGCTGTCTTTGTGGAAACTAATCTTTTTGTTGTTGTTGTTTCTCTGTATTGTTTTGGAGGCTATCCTGGAACTCGATCTGTAGACCCAGGCTGAACTCGAACTCAGAGGTATGCCTGTCTCTGCCTCCTGAGTGCTGAGATTAAATAGCCAGGTTTTCTTAAACTAAATTATCTGGTTGACCTTTTGCCTCTGGGCTTTTGCCTTTCTCTATTTCTCTATTTCTTTCTGTATTTCTTAATTTGTGGCTTGCTGTGTAGCTGGGTAGCTGGACTCTTTCTCTCCTCTTTTTCTTGCTTCTTGATCTCTCTTCCAAGATTTCTCCTCCTATTTATTCCTTCTACCTGTCAGACCCTCTCTCTTGCCTAGCTGTTGGCTATCTAGATCTTTATTAGATCAAGCAGGTATTTTAAACAAGCAAAAATAACACAGCTTCAAGAGTTAAACAAGTGCAACATAAAAGAATGCAACATATCTTTAAACAAATATTCCACAGCTTAAACAAATGTAACACATCTTACAATAATATCCCACAACAAAAGATCAGTCTGTGATCTTCTAACACAGTCTTAAAGTTTGGCTATATAGAATTAACAAGGAAAATAGTAACCTTTAAGTGAAAAGAATTGCACGTGAGGCTTTTGAAAAAATACATGGTAAATGACAGGTCTTTTTGCCAAAATATCTTTGTGATTCATGTATTTCAATAGGTAGATTAACAGAAAAAATTTAAAATCTTTACTTCACTTAAAATATAGAGACTCCCTTGTTTTTACTGGAATCAAAACATAAAGTAAACTTATCAGAGTGAATATTTATTGGTCTAGTCCACTGACAGTAGGAAAAGAAAAACCATCAGATAGAAAATAGTCTCTCTAAAGTAAGAGTGAGGAAAGATGCTATCTGAAGTAAAGGTAAAATTCATATCCAAACAGACATTGAAACTGTGGTAAAGGCACTAACTAAATATTTGTTTAGGGTTCGCTTAGTCTGAAACCATCTACAGTGGTTCACAAGAACAGGTAGAACCATGCTAGAGTTTAAATATAACTCTCATACTGAAGTTCTATCATGGAACAACCATCATTCCTCCCTAAGGCATTCCAAATGTAAAAGCTCTAAGATTACTAAAGATACTCAACAGAAGGGAATTTACCCTTGAGGGACTTAAGTTCATAGATTTCTTTTTCTTCTTCCTGATAAGTGGTTTCTCAATAAGTAGCTCTGGTCTGAAATGCTAATGAGAGGATGTGAGTTTACCTATCAAATACATTGATGGAAACTACAACTCACTATAGTTCCAGTAAATTCTATGTTATAGCTCCCAAAAGTTTCTGAACATGACAACTGACTTTCTCAAAGTTGTCAATGGTAACAAAGACCCAGAAACTTAAGCTCCCACAGTAAGCTTTTGACTGAGATGTCAATGTCATTGCAGTTGATGTACTTCCTCTGAAAGTACTGATTGTGGCTCTTGTGGCATGACATATGCAGTCAGAGGATCCATGAAGACATAAGGAAAATAATCCCAAAGGAAATCATAGGAATTGCTTTCTTGGTGTCTCTCAAGCAATCAGGAATTACCTCATACCACTTGAAACTCTGTTGGTCTGCTCCCCTCAGAATATTTTTATGGAGACAACTTGAACGAAGGTGACTACAGACTCAAACATATTGACAACATTATTCTGGGATTAAGAGCCTCTTTGTGTGTCTGAGATTTTGTCTGGAAGATATTACTTTCTGATTCTTATGTTCTTCCTCATTTAGGACCCTAAACACATCCCAAATTCCAGGACTTTATTCAATTCCTACCAATGTAATTCCTACCAGAGTAATACATTTAAAAAAGATAAGTAAACATATTCCACAGAATATAAATGATAAATAAAAGTAGTTTTATTGTTACAAATAAAAAAGAAACATACTAATAGCTATAGATAAATTTAAAAATCATACCATTTAAGAAGGTAAATGATCCCAGGTAGTTCTGAGATATAATGTATAGAGGTTCAGTATTCTCAGTTTTTATATTCAAAAGCAAAAGTGTAACACACTTGAACACTTGCACACAGGTGTGTGTACATACAAAACATTTGTTAGTAAACTTGAACTAATAAACTTTGTGCTATCCACGGTGAATATTCACACATTTTTCTACTGAAATATCAATGTAATGCAGAGTGTTCTGCCAAATACAGCATCCAAAAGCAAAATGTTTATATTAATAACTTCCAACTTAAACCCAGGAATATGATTTAAGTGATCATTTCTACTAATTAGATTTAGTCTAGGGATGTTAAAATGGTTTAATAATAGAACATCAATAAACATAAGTCATGTGAAGAGAAAAAAAATTTGAATAGATGCTGTCAAGATGTTTGATATAATTTCGCTTTCTGCAAATGACTTAAAGCACTACAGTTAAACAAGAATTTACCAAAACATTGTAAGCTAAATGGTATTTACCAAAACCCAAGATAAAGCATTGTCAAATGAAGAAGAGTTGAAAGCTTTTTAGTAACTGAGTATCTAACAAGAGATATTTGTTCTGCTAGCATTGCCTTTTTAGTTCTATCAATACAGTTCATGACACATAACAAGCAAACGTCACAAGAGCAAAGATACAACACCACCCCATAATCTTATTTCAGGAAATCTTGGACATCAACTAAAATTGTTTCCTATAATAAAATCTAGTCGACTACACATAACTTGGTAGCATTTTGATGAACTTCATCACTTGTTTTCCTTATCTCAGCTGTCATCCTCCTCCCAGAGGAGAAATGGTAAGTGTCTGCCCCATTGTCTTACTGTGTCTAAAAGTATCCAACACATACACAGTGTCCATACTGCCAAACTAAGTACTTATCTCTTGTTGATTCTTATAATAATTACCGTGGTTGACATAGTATCTTTACACTGGCATGCACATGTGTCTAGTATTCAAGTCAGAATTATTTTCTTTCCTGAAACATTTTATATCATCAACAAACTTCTCTTCTTATTCAACATGAAATTTTATGTATTCATTTGATTTAACTTCTAAATAGTGTAAAACAAAGGCAAAACTACCTTT